ACGTTCTTCTTCGAACAGTCAGGTATCTCAGATTATTTGCTCAGCGTAGAGACTAAGTATGGTGAAAGGATACAACCCTGATGCACATCTTTCCTGATTTTAAACCATACAGTATCCCCTTGTTCTGTTCAAACAACTGCCTTTTGGTACGCACAGGTTCCTCTTGAGTACAATTAAGTATTCTGCAATTCCCATTCTTCGCAATGCTATCCGTGATTTGTTATGATCCACACAGTCAAATGCCTTTGCATAGTCAATAAAACACAGGTAAACATCTTCTGGTATTCTCTGCTTTCAGCCAAGATCCATCTGACATAAGCAATGATATCCTTCATTCCACGCACGTCCTCTTCTGAATTCTGCTTGAAATTCTGGCAGTTCCCTGTTGATATACTGCTGCAACCATTTTTGAATTATCTTCAGCAAACTTTTATTTGTGTGTAATATTAATAATATTGTTCCATAATTTCCACATTCTGTTGGACCATCTTTCTTTGTAACGGGCATGAATACGGATCTCTTCCAGTCTTTGGCTAGACAGCTGTCTTCCAAATTTCTTGGCATAGACGAGTGAGCACGTCTAGCACTGCACCCATTTGCTGAAACATCTCAATTGGTATTCCATCAATTCCGGAAGTCTTGTTTTTCACCAATGCCTTCAGTGCAGCTTGGACTTCTTCCATCAGTACCATCAGTTCTTGATCATACACCACCTCCTGAAATGGTTGAATGTCGACCAATTATCTTTGGTACAGTGAATCTATGAATTCCTTCCATCTTCTTTTGATGCTTTCTGCGTCGGTCAATATTCTGCCCATAGAATCCTTCAATATTGTAACTTGAGACTTAAATTTCATCCTCAGTTCTTTCAGCTTGAGAAGTGCCAAGCGTGGTTTTCTAACTCCTTATGGTTTTCTAACTCCATGTCTTTGCACACTTCATTATAATACTTTACTTTGTCTTCCTGAGCTTCCCTTTGAAATCTTCTGTTCAGCTCTTTGCTTCATCACTTCTTCCACTTACTTTAGCTGCTCTACATTCAAAAACAAGTTTCAGAGTCTCTTCTGAATTTATTCTGGTCTTTTCTTTCTTTCCTGTCTGTTTAATGACCTTTTGCTTTCCTCACGTATGATGTCCTTGATGTCATTCAACAACTTGTCTGGTCTCCGGTCATTAATGTTCAATGTACCATATCTCTTCTTGAGATGGTCTCCACACTTAGACGGGATATACTCAAGGTCAGATTTTGGCTCTTGTGGACTTGTTTTAATTTTCTTCAGCTTCAACTTGAACTTGCATATAAGCAATTGATGGTCTGTTCTGCAGTCGGCCCCTGGCCTTCTTCTGACTGACAATATTGAGCTTTTCCATCGTCTTTTTCACAGACGTAGTCAATTTGATTCCTGTGTTGTCCATCCAGTGACGTCCACGTGTATAGTCACTGTATATGTTGTTGAAAAAAGACAGTTGCAAAGAATAATTCATTGGTCTTGCAAAATTCTATTATGTGATCTCCTGCGATATTTCTATCACCAAAGTCGTATTTTCCAACTACAGTTCCTTCTTCTTTGTTTACAACTTTTGCATTCCAATCACCAATAATTATCAGTGGATCTTGCTGCATGTCTGATCAATCTCAGACTGCAGAAATTGGTAAAAATCTTCAATTTCCTCATCTTTGGCATTACTGGTTGGTGTGTAGATTTGAAAAATAGTCATATTAACTGGTCTTCCTTGTAGGCGTATGGATGTTATTCTATCACTGACATCATTGTACTTCCGGACAGATCTTAAAATGTTCATTTTGAGGATGAATGTGACTCCACTCCTCTTCAGTTTGCATTCCCGACATAGTAGACGATATGACTGTCTGAATCAAAATGGCCAACAGCAGTCCGTTTCAGCTCACTAATGCCTAGGATATCGATCTTTATATGTTCCACTTCATTTCTGACGACTTCCAATTTTTCCTGATTCATACTTCGTACATTCCACATTCCAGTTATTAATGGATGTGTTCAGCTGTTTCTTCTCATCTTGAGTCATGCCACATCAGCAAATGAAAGTCCCAAAAGCTGGACTCCATCCACGTTATTAAGGTCGACTCTACTTTGAGAAGCCAGCTCTTCCCCAGTTGTATTTTGAGTGCTTTCCAACCTGAGGGGTTCATCTTCTGGCACTATATCAGACAATGTTCCACTGCTATTCATAAGGTTTTCACTGGCCAGTATTTTCAGAAGTAGACCATCAGGACCCTCTTCCTTGTCTTAAGTCTAGAGGCGCCACTGAAACCTGTCTACCACAGGTGACCCTGCTGGTATTTGACATACTGGTGACATAACTTCCAGTATCACAGCTACACACAAGCCACCACAGTATGACAAACTGACAGATGTGCGGTGGATATACAGGCATACCTTGGAGAAACTGCACGTTTGGTTCCAGACCACCGCAAGAAAGTGAGTATCACAATAAAGCGAGTCACAGGAACTTTTTGGTTATCGTGTTAGATAAATATTAGTACTTCCAGTATTTGGATGTTTCCTATGTTAGCATTATATTATTACCTATGTTAATATTATATTAAATGTATGCTAGATTGAGTCCTCGTGTATGCCAAACATATTTTAAATCTAAAGTCATAAATATTGTTTGTAAAACTTAGGACATAACTTTGTATGTAAATTCTACACAGTTAAAAAGTAACTTGACTGAATTCATTGCAATGGTCGACTTATTTGAGTTCTCTTACTTCTGCACGTTTTCAGGTACTGGAGTTAACATTAATTGTTAACCAGGACATGCGCAAGAGCATACCCTATGTGTTTGTATCATGACAAAGAGCACTGCTGGTCCCCCTGGCTGGAGTTGCTGGATCAGCAGACATGGATATACAAGACAGTTCTCTCAAAATGGATCAGAGACCCGTTATCTATTAATACAATCCGTTGCTGTCCAGTAACTGCTCATGATGGATCCAGTTGCACATCGGGTGATTGTGGCAAGAGTCAGACTCAACAGCCCACCCCCACCCTCCTGTTTATTAGAAACAAATAACCCTCCCAAGAGACCCGCCAAGACAAGGAGTTTCAATTACATGGGAGGAGACAGATGACCATGAAGGTGTTGAAGTGGTAGAGGCCTCAGAGCTCCAACAACCTGGAGCGTGGGCGCCTTCGTGACCCTTCGTGAACTTTATTCCCAGCCAGCACGTTTTCACGCACTGGAGCTGCTATCAATCTCATTTAGTGCCCTGTCATTTCCTTCCACTGCAGCGCTCGCTCTCCTTGTATCCCATCTGCTTGACACCTACGGGTCTTTGCTTTGGACAACCAGTACCTCTGTTTTGTTGATGCCCCTAAGCCTGAGCTTACCTTGCTTATTGGGTAATCCATCCCTGTACATATTACCTGCCTAAAGTCCCAAGTCAGTCTCTTTAGAGATTTATCCCAAATCTTCCAGTCTCTGCAAGGGACCTTGTCGACTACCTGCCTATATATGCTTTACCCTAAGACTGAAGATTCATGTCACATCCCTTTTCTGGCAGTCTTAAATACAGCCTTAACCTCAACTCATCAAAATGTAAGAAAATGCTAATGAAAGCTATCTCCAACGTTCCCTTCTCACTGCATTTTAAAATGCTTATTTTCTCTATACAAACTTCACACGCTTGCTTTGAAAAAAATGTTCTGAAAACACTCTTCCTGGTCTATATGAGTATTCATGTTTCTGAAGAAAATCATTATAATCTGTTTTGAATTATTGCAATACATCTAATTTTAAAAAGTGTATATAAGGTATACATCATAAGTGGATACACATTTTAAATTCAATTCCTACTTCTAAATGGGAATTAGACTAACTGGTAATTTTTTCATGTTAAAAAAGGGGAGGATTAGTTACATATTGGTACATTTTTAAAGAGTATCTTTTCCAGGTAAAAGTTTTAATGACTGATACAATTTTTTTTTAATAAAAAAATTTTAGATTGATCACAGGCCATTTAAAAATTAACAGTGCTTCTAGAAGGCAATATCGCAATCATGCTACCTGTGACAATGACAATATGTATCCTCTCGTACAGAACATAAAGCAATGGCCTCCTTTTACTTTGAAAAATTTTACAAATAGTTCATGCTTTTAAGCAAAGTTACTGTAATGGCCAAAGATACTGTATTTTGGACAGACTTTCTCAATATGCATTAAAGTACTCATGACCTTTTTCCTAGACAATAAGAACAAACCACCATAAAATCTTACTAGGTGCTCAACCTGTTTGTTTCCAGAAATAGATCCATTTTTCTTGCTTAACCTCAAATTCTCATTATTTCAAAAGTGTAACACTAAAAATCATAAATTAGTCATGTATTGGCAAGAAAGAAATGAGCAAGAATATCATTATAAGCCTCCTGATTAAAATGTAGAATGAAATAAAAGTATGAAATTTGATTAAAAATAAAGCACAAGTACGAAAATACAAGAGATTTTACATTCTTATTTACTTTTTGACTAACTTCTCTTCTGACTAAAGGTTTAACAGTGGCCTCCCGCCATGCTCAGCAGGCTCTCACACCGGGAGTCCTCAACGTAAGACCTTTCACCAGGAGCACCTAAATGTACATTTGCAATGGATTCCCCACAGGCTTTCACACAACAGGCAGGAAAATTCCATGATATCTGTCTGTCTTTCCCTTTTCATTTCTTTATTGGCAAAGCAAGTTAGTAAAGAATAGTGCTCTACTCATTCTTAAATGCACTTTTTTTTCTTTCTTCAAAGGTGGACAGTCCCCCCCTCAGTCTGCACACATAAAGTAGCCGCTGCCATCACGTAGTCTTACCACTGATTGTTTCGATGTTTAAGAGATTTTACTAAATCAGGGCAAAATACAAAAGGGCAAGACCGAGCAAAACACATCAATATTATAAACCCATTAGTTAACAATGAAAATTCACAAATAAACTTAGGTTAAGGTTAGGAGACCACACACAAATTACAATACCTGAGATTTAGTGCATTCCTTTGAGCCCAAATGAAATGAGTGCCATAAAGGAGGAAAGGAAAAGATGAACATTATCAGACATGCTATAGTACATCTGCCAAAATGAAGATAATGTTAAAATTAGGTTAAGAATGACCATATAGAATTGGCTAAATGTACAATGTTCTTTAGCCATGCATTTCAAATGTACTTGTAATCATTGAAAATCACCTGAGAAGTATGATCATGCAATTCTTTTAAATAAACTTTTTACCCTCAGCCCCACCCTGCTAGTCAATTTTATTCAAAGAGAAGTACTTCTGCTAAGAATATGTAAATAAGTCTTAAGGCTTATGAAGATTAATAATTTTCATTTAATTCTTTTTACTACGTGGCACTACGTATACAAAAGAAAGTCTTGCTCTTGTCCTACGTTAAAATCATGAATTTTGGTAAAATAATAATCAAATAATGTATAAATATAATCATAATGCAACTTGCACAAAAAGAAAAAGGATCCAATACATTTAATTATGACCATGTTGTTGCCAATCTTAACTCATTTAGTAAAATTAATACCAACGTGTCACATATTAGTAAACTAGTGCACGATCCACTGGTAATCAAGTTTAAGTCTTCATCCTAGTACTGACTTTTCCCTAAAGGAAGTATCTGTTGACCAGGTAAGACATTTTAAAAACAACTTAAAAATAAAAAAAAATCTTGTAATAATGGTTTTTAAAAAAACCCACGTTTTGGAAAAGTTAGAACAAGAAAGGGGACTCATACAGGATAGTGAGTGAAGTTTTCCATACAGGGAGAAAAAGATAGGGGAAGGGGAAGAAATAATTATGAAATGATTCACCTCCACTTGCATGTGACAAACGTAACTATAAAATTAAACCAATCAACATTAACACAAAATTTTAAGTAATCTACACTCCCTCTATCTTAGTATGCACACTGATTTGGAAAACAATTCCAAAGCAGACAATATTAACATTATCAGTACTGGGCTGAATATTACGTTCAATGCTGTACTATTAATATTCACGACTATTTTTAATACATTATTTCCTTCTTCCATTATGCTGCATCAACACTAAAAATACTACCTTCTCTTACAGACAATGTTAACAAAAAAACCTTTCATAGTTTCTCTTTTCTTTTTTTTTTTTAATACCAAGTCTCCCCAACAGACAAAGCTGTCTTTGTGATGAGTAAAAAGCAACCCTTTCCAAATGAGCTCAATGGAATGATTCAACTATGAAATTCATGTTAAATTAAAACAGTGCATGGGTAGCAAGAGGAGTAGGCAGGGAGCTGGTGGTCAAAATCACTTAAATACTGAAATACAAAGAGCTCTCTTAGAGATACATGAAGTGTGGGTATAAAATACCATACCTCTTAAAGTTACTAAAAATCAAGTGAATAATTTTAATTCTGTATGTACTTTCCCTTGCATCTATACTTATTTGCAGGAAGAAAAGGACATATAAGAAAAAGAAAAAATAAGAACGTAAAATAGTTGTCAATTATATATTTTTTTTCATATTTTTACTTGAAAATTAATTTCACATGACTACTCAATTAATGGTATTCTATGCATATATAAGCCATCTTTTACCTTATTATGACATATCCACAAATTCGAGCTACTTTCTTTTGAAAATACAGATCCTCAAATATATTTATAACTATTTTAGATGAGCCACAAGAAGAAACTTGCCCAGTGCATCTAAGCAGAAAGATAAGAATAAGGCTCTAAAACGGACTTAACTGAGGTCTTGTGTAAATCACGTAATATCTGTATCTGGTTTCCTTAAAAATAAAAAGCTGTTTACTTATCAATGAAGTAAATGACAACCAAGTGGGTTATAGTATTTAAGAGGATCTTTGAATTTATTAGAAACATCTCAGAGGATTTTCACACTGGTATTTTAAAAAGCACCCTTTCAAATTATTCTTATCTCACTTCATTGTATTAAAAACCAAAAGAATTCTCACATAATATACTCACAATGATATGAAAATTTACAAAAACTAATTTTTACAGACCTACTTTTTGAATAAAAAACAGGTATGATGCCAATCTTTTGGGGGGGATCATACTTTATATTAACTTAAGTACTTACAAGATCTCAGTTACAATTTTACATGCTGATCACGAAACTGGTCCTCAAAAAGTATTTTAAGAAATGAAACAGCTAAATGATGTCTTTCAACATCTTATTTCAATGCTTTCTAAAAACTATGCATAGCTTGTGTGTTCCCAGCCAAATCAGCACATTAATTATTCATCAAAAATGGAAACTGTAAATGTCTTTCTAGAAAACTCCCAACAAAACACTAAAGATAAATAAAAATATTATGCTTTTATAACTTACCGTATGATATCCTCTAGGCAAAGGTGGTTTACCCACAGGATAAGGATCCACAGTGTCAATAATTGTTTGTCTTTCACCTTTTTGGTTGATTTTTCTAAATCTCCTTCGAGACTGTCGATGAGAAGCTTGACGCTGAAAATATTCTTCATTTTCATCCATATAGTCCACCTGAAATGGGACCCCCCCAAAAAAAACTTCATTTCTCCAAAGCCAGCATCCCGTATTAATATTAGGCACAGAAAAAAAACTTACAGATAGACCGTATTCATTCATTTTGCAAAGTCATTCGTAGACAAAATATCTAGACAGACTAAGTGTGTCTGATTTCTCGGGAACTAACTTTCCTTTTATGAAGAGGTATTTTCAGTTTCACTTAGGACAATACGGGAAGTTCTGAGCTTCCTGTAGCTTCAAAAAGAAGGATATTTTCAGTAGTCTTCGTACTGATTTAGTCTTAAAAGATCTCATAGAATACAAATTCACTGCGAAAGGAACTGCCACATTGTCTTTAACTGAAGCACAGGATTTGATGTGTCTCAGTAAGTCTGGAAGGGGAAAAAACTTAGTAAATCCCTGATGACTCAAGTAAGACTGCCAGATTGGTTTTAGGAGATTATCTCAGAGTTTCACTCCCTACTGTCATTCTGTGACTTTGGTTTCTTTTCTTCTTCTTTTTTAAATAAATAAGGCTATTTTAAAAAAATAATTCCTCATTTTGAACATTTTAGAAACTGATGAATGGACTAACACCCAAGAACAGAGTCACGTCAGGTTAATCCTTTCTGAACATATATATTGGAAATGTGATTGCTCACAAAAGAGGGATGCTTGGATTCGAACGCTGTTCTTAGTAGTATCTGTAATATTCGCCATTATAAAATATTCATGGTATTTCCAAGATCAAAAATCCTTCTGAGAAATCCAAAAATAGCACAAACAGAGGTCAAAATCTCCAGCAAAGATCTAGAAATGCTTACGCATTGGAAAGTCCTATGTATCCGCCTACATTTTGACCAATCCTAAACTCCTACCCCCATTCCACTTTCTCACTTGAGTAAATTTTGTGAAATTTTGCTGACTTTCCCTAGCACTGATGAGGAAGTTCTCAAACAGAACATCCTCTCCTGCATCATGGGGAAGAACCCTAAATCTTCCCTGAAAGTAGGCCTAGATTTGTTTAATGAATACTTTTAACAAACGTGAATAAAAACCTTTCATCATCACCTATACTAGACCATTGGTTATTTTACAAGCTATACCTTCCAAGATTGGGTTGTAGATACTAAGAGTATCAATATCGACTGAATGTCCTCGACAGTAACCCCTCCCACCTCATTTTATTTTTTGTTTTGGATTTTTACAAAGGGGTGTATATTATCTATCCTATTTCAAAATTATTTTTGTACAATAAAGAAGTATGGTAACTTTCTGAAAGTTTCAATAAAAGTAATTACGTTGCCAATATTGTTTGACACATTATTTAACTTGGATATAGTCTGTCTTACGTGTTTTTTTAAATCATACAATTTAGTTAAAAAGAGAAATAAAGATGTCAACCAGCATAGCAGTCCTCTAATTTTTTTGTCGATTACTTAAATGATTTCTTTATGTTAACTGTTCCCCGAACACATACTACTATAATTCATCTGATATTATTCATTCATTTTAATCAACATTTGAAGAGCTAAAAATCCTACAATTCAAAAATTCTTTTCCAAATTTCAGTCAAATGGTATTATCATAGATTGAATTACAAAGTTTAAGCACATAATATTTAGGGATTTGCCCATTTTTAAAAGTCTTTTTCATTTAATTAAATGGTATAAATAATTACAGTATTATGAACATGATTTCAAATTCTTTATAATGAAAAGTTATGAAATAAGTATATCTAATATTATAAAATATACATCACACTATTGTAAATAGCTTATTAAAGTGCGTTTATTTCGTAAATTTGGGGGGAGGAATCTTCGCAGAAGTATTCTTACCACAATCATTTCAGAAGGCTCTAAAACGATGCATTCACAGCCACGCCTAAAGCTTCCCGCAGAACGCTTGCCAAAACTAGAAAGAGAAAATAAAATTCAATTGGGACAACCTCAGATATTTAAGAAATCTAACTTATAACTTTAAGCCAACCCTCCAGATAAATAAAAATGAAAATAAAAAACAACTATAAAAAGTGCACAATAGAGAAGGAGGAATTACCTTTAATCATTACTTGCCCAGAATGACAAGGATGAATTCAAATTCTTCAATTCCAGTCATATATTATCAAGAAAACTCTAACAAAATGCTTTTAAATTAACAATGTAAGTAAAGGAGAATCAGTATAAATGTGTTCTGTCTTAAGTTGTTTTAAATCATTCCCAATAAGGTGAAGTTTTAGAATATCAAATAGGGGTGGGAATTCTATCAATGGCAAACTACAAAAATATCCAAACGAAGTATAAAATATATGTAATTCTCTTTATAACTTAACTTGATTAGGTTAAACATTTCTTTCCCCTAAAAAGTGCATATATATTTCTAAAGTTTCAAAGCAACTAAATTTGTGAAGAATACTCAACTTTAGACTGCTTTTTCTAAACTATTTAAGTAATTTAAGTGGATGTGCATACTAAAAAACCATTCCTCCTAAAAAGTTTGCACTAGTGACCTCAAAACACAGCACCCATGCCCTATCTATGGTAATCTCCCATTTTAATGGAGGAGAGGTGTATTCTCTCTGACACAGCTGTAGGCACACAGAACCAGGGAGAGAGAATCCTGGAGAAGCTGAGTAATCCTGACTTGCTCTAATAACGGACAGCTGGCCCTTGCCAGTTTGCTACTCCACAAATCCCCGTTTTCCTTCAGTCAACATTATCAGTGACTACTTTTAATAGTCCTGTCTTTAAGAAAAATATGAGAAAAAATTATTCCATCCAAAAAAATTCCTGTTCTTTTTAAAACCCTCTAGTTCATGTTGGTATAATACAGTCTTTTAATAAATATAATGTAGTTAAAAAGCATAAATGTTTGTGATGCCTACAATGTTCATATAACACTTGATAAAGAATGAACTGAGTGAGAACTGAGTTGCTCCCAAATTTTAGCAACAAACCAGATAAAGTATACACAAATAAACTATACGGTCGTCATCCATTTTATGCCTAATTCTTGTACCAATAACTCCCTACTTCAGTATTAAGGCTGCAAATCCTCTTACCAGTTATCCATTAGTTCAACAGAACTTTATGGCTAGGAAAATACTCACTCTTAACTTGCACGAAAACTATTACCCTGGAGATAAAAAGTTTGCATCACCTAAAACACCTGAGCCTTTTGGGAAGTGAGCTGCACTAGAAGGGGAAGAAATTCTCTTTGCCGCCTCCCTGACGAAAGACTCAAGCTCCACTGACTACAAGAAAAAGCGACCAGGAGAAGTAGCTGACTCTCCATCAGGTTAATCACTTGAATTCTGACAGGGAAAAACGCACACAGAACACATACAAGCAAGACAGAACAAACTGTCTCCTTTATTCAAAAACCTGGTTTTGTTTTCCAAACCTGGCCAAGAACCCAGAAGGAAAGAGCCAAGTACAGGTCAGGAATGCAGTGGTGGCCTGATCAGCAGCAAGGCCTCTGGCTCTTCACAGAAATGACTGACTCTCAGCTTCAAACCCAGAAGCTGTAAACTGGCCAGGCACAGAGAGAGTAATGACAAACGATAGCTGTAAATCATTAAGTCCACAAAAGATTTTTACTTCTACTATCTGATGATCCCTCGGAACGATAAATATATAAACAAAGGCAGGTAAATATCACTATTAACTAAGTTTTCAAAAATCTTTAATCCAGTTCTACACAAGAAAATATGAGAAAAAAATTGTTATGAATTGTTTTTAAAAATTCAGTCTGGAAAGTAAGTACAGAGATTTTAAAAAGGCAAGCAGATTGAGGAGTGTAGGAAATAACCACCCCCACCCCATGGTATTCAGATCAATTCTTTTAAATGTTTAGTCAACAGAAATGAAGGGAAATCCTCAGGTTTGCAAATGACACTCATACTTTTTAGATAATAAAATGCAACTTTCTTAGATAATAAAGAACATTTTATAAAGTTTTATGGGAGTGCAGAAAACCAGAAATTATAGAGTCCAATGTGCATAATGAAATATTCTACATGAAGTGATCAAATGCACACAGTATTTAATATTACATTAAACAATACAGAGCTCTAATCTTTTAGTTGGCTGATTTTCAGAAGTCGATTGCCAAGTCTTTCTTCCTAGTTCATCTCAGACCAGAAGCTCCACTGAAACCTGTTCAGCATCACAGCAACACACCAGCTTCCACTGACAGATGGGTGGTAGCTGAGCATGAGGTGCACTGTGCAGGAAGGGAACCAAGTCCCTGCATGCAAAGTAAGAATTCTACAACAGAACCACCTCTGCCCTGGTAGGCCCAAATCAGCCAGTTAAAACCCCGACAGATTCCAACAGTCTGACCAGGCAGTGTTTCACTCCACTGCGCATGGGGTTGCCATGAGGTGGGGGTTCACTCGATAGCAGCTAACAATAGCAACAACGATCTTTTTGTTAAAACTTAGGAATGAAAACTGGAAGTCTTTAAATGCATTAGCACATTAAACTGCTAACACAATAAATAACAAATAAGGCAAATCTCAAAATGATGGACAACAGTAAGAAGGAATAAAAAACAAAATTATACATAATCTTATGAAAAAAACTTGTAACTCAACTGCTAGAATACTGTATAGAAATGTTTCTGAAGTGAAAAACAACAGAAACGTCACCAACAAAAAGCACCCAGAAATATTAAGGAGATTCAAAGGGCTTTCTCTACGACCAGAAGTGCAAATTAAAATAACTTTCATTCAATCTAAACAGCAGCTCAAAGTGAGCAGCATTTAAATTTCTAAAATAATGCTTTATGAAGATTAAGAAATGATACAGATTCAAGAAGAATTTGGGTAACTTGAAATCAATTATTGAGTTGATTCGGACCCATGAGGAACTCGTGTGTGCTGATTAGAACGGCTCCATAAGGTTTCCTTGGCTGTCATCTTTACAGAAGCATACTGTCGGGCCTTTCCTTCCACAGCGTTGCTGGGTGGATTCAAACTGCCAACTTTTAGGTTAACAGTCGAGTACCAACCATTTGCACCACCCAGGAACCTCAGGTAACTGAAAAGTACACCTATAATCCTTAAGAGTTTTTTCTTTTTTTTAAGTTTGAAATAATTAAGGGTTATCCCAAAGCCATACAACCTTGCTGCCACTATCGGAAATGAACGATTAGTCCTACAAGATACAACATTCTTTTTTTGTTGATGTTATTACTAAATCTAATTAGGAACACTACTTTGAACAAACAACAAAAAACCTTAGGGACAAAGAGAAGAGTTAAGCTTGATGACAGAATTATACCAGTGATAACCCTGATACAATTTCCTTTTCTAGGTTAACTTAGCAATGAAGCGATAGAGGCTGTGAGGGAAAGGAGGGCCAGGGAGAGATGGGGAGAAGGTCAACGCATATAACTACAACACTTTATATCAGACTTGTGAAATGCTGCAGAGTCAATTATACCTACATTTTATTTCACCCAGAATTAAACGCATTTTTTTCTTTATGTATGACTATAATTTAAAAGTCACAGTGTCCGTGAAAACACCCATTAATAACCAGAACACGGAAGTTCCTCATCATAACAAAGGGCATCTGTAAAAAACCAACGATCAACATCGTTCTCAACAGAGAGAGGCTGAAAACATTCCCCTTGAGAATGGTAACAAGACAAGGATGCCCTTTACCACCACTCCTATTTAATACTGTGCTGGAAGTCCTAGCTAAAGCAATAAGGCAAGGAAAAGAAATAAAGGGCATCCAAATTGGTAATGAAGAAGTTAAACTGTCCCTGTCTGCAGAAGGTATGATACTATACATTGAAAACCCTAAAGACTCCACGAGAAAACTACTGGAACTAATAGATTCAGCAGAGTAGCAGGATACAAGATCGACATACAAAAATCAGTTGGATTCCTACACACCAACAAAGAGAACTTCGAAAAGGAAATCAGGAGAACAAATTCATTTATAATAGCCCCTAAAAGGATAAAGTACTTAGGAATAAATCTAAGCAGGGACGTAAAAGACCTATTGCAGTGTGATGGATCACTTTTGTGTGGCCTTTCTAGCCACGGTCTTGTTAACTCCCACCCAAGTGACTGGACAAGACTGTTTTTTAGGGTCGCTAAGAGTCGAAATCGACTTGACAGCAACAGATTTGGTTTGGTTTGGTGCAGATATAGATATAGTAATCGTAGCCCACCAAGGGACTGGTCAGTTTTGCTATCCCGCTAGGCTTGAAATGAGCCACCCTAGATGTGGAAAAAGAGAAGAAGCCACTACCACCAAGGAAGAACAGCCAGGAGTCAGCACATCGTTTGGACTTGGAATCCCTGCGCTGAGAAGCTCCTAGAATCAGGAAACAGACAGAGAGGGAGCTGTAACACTGAAGGCAGCAGAGACAGTGTGGTGGGCCTTCCAGCTCATGGAGAGAGAAAGCTGAGTGCTTCTGGGCAGAAGCCAAGGGCCAGGGAGAGGCGTGTTTGTGAGCACAGCTGGGAAGAGGTTATCCTGATGGAGAACTTCATTCTTGAGTGTTCCTGAGCCTGAACTGTAACCTGTTACTTCCCTGATAAACCCCATAATCGTGAGCATGTTCTTTGAGTTTTGTGCAGCCATTACAATGAATTATCGAACCCAGCAGAGAAGTAGAGAGTACCTGGGAGGGACAGTTGGTATCTGAACTGGTAAAGATGGCAGAGACAGAAGGCATGTCTGACCCCCTGCTTCATAGGAATCAGTCTTGGGCTGTTGATCTTGATTCTCCTCCCTCTTGTGAAGTTAGAGGAGGTTAGATACTGCCCTCCTGCTGTTTTTACGGGTGGCTTCAGAAGCAGAATGCCTTGCAATGGCTCCAGACTCATGAAAGCATAGTACTTTGTAAGAGAATGAACGAAGGGGCTTGGCAAGTGAAACTTCTGATTCTTG